CCACTCAAAGCTCTTTACAGGTAATGGGGTTCCCCTCCACCCCCACCAGTGTGCAGCCCCACCTGGATGATGCGACGGCAGCCATAGTGCGCCAGAACACTCACCACACACCAGCTCTCAGTGGGGAGGAGAGCAGAGTGATGAAGCCAGTTCAGAGATGGGGATTATTAGGAGGCCATGATTGGTAAGGGCCGATAGGAAATTTAATAGGACAGTGGGGTGTTACACCCCCATTTTTTTCGAGGAATGCCCTGGGATTTTTAATGACCACAGAGAGTCAGGATCTCGGTTTTACATTTCATCCGAAGGACGGTGCCTGTTCACAGTACTGTGTCCCCGTCACTATACTGGGGCATTAGGACCCACACAGACCGCAGGGTGAGCGCCCCCTGCTGGCCCCACTAACACCTCTTCCAGCAGCAACCTTAGTTTTTCCCAGGAGTCTCCCATCCAGGTACTGACCAGGCTCACACCTGCTTAGCTTCTGTGGGCTGCTAGTTGTGAGTTGCAGGGTGATATGGCTGCAACTAGATGACTTATCTTATTAATTCGTTAGATCAAGTAACGGTAAAAAGACAAAACCAGACACCCCTGGAAGAGAGGACCTGCCCGGACCTGGGACTGCGGGAAACTGCACTCCCGCTGGTTCGGTGGGTCTTTCCAGGCTGCGCCAGCACCCCCTCTAGTGGCCCACAGACAGAATCTCACATTTCTCACAACAGGGAACGGGGGTGAGGTGTTGCAGAGATTTTTATTTACACCATTTCCTGCACAGAGCCAGGCTCATGGATTGACTCCCTCAGCTCAGTGAGTGGAATCAGGGACCTGGCAATCAGAGATTAGTACAGGGGCAGAATGAAAGACTCATCCCCTCTCTTCTGGCTGAAACCTTCCTGTTGTAAAAGAGGGAAATCGTTCTCTTTTGTTCTCTGCGGTGCAGAGCAAGACGGCCGTCCTCCTCCCCTGCTCTCTCTCCTGCAGGGTTTCGATCAGGTGCCACAGATCTCTGCTGCTTCCCTCTCTGGCTGGGCGACTGACAGAGGGAGAGGATCCGTATTCTCTCCCTCTGGCTCTCTGGGACAGTCCAGCCCAGCGGCGGCCCGTCGGGGCGTGCTCGAGGCCGCAGTCCCTCCGCGTGCCCTCAGGGGGCGCTGGCGTTCATCTTCTCCTGGCAGCTCTCCCAGAAGGCCACCAGCCGGTTGTCCTTGTTGGCGCAGAAGTCGGTGAAGTCGCGCAGCAGCCGCTCCGCCAGCCTCTCGTCGCCCGTGGCCCCCGAGCGCCACGCCTTGGTCAGCATGGTGTTGTACGCCCAGTTGTAGCCCACCCGCTCCTCGGCGCCGAACAGGCTCTGATTGGACGAGCTCGTGGAGTTCCTTCGCCGTCGCTGCTGCCCCGTGGAGAACTTCCTCTTGGAGTAGGGAAGCTGGAGGAACACTGTCCCTGTGGGTGAGAGAGAGAGTCAAGAGGGAGGGCGACTCAGGCAGACCTGGCTGCCCAGAGAGGACAGGCTGTGCTCCCACTGCCAGCGGGGAGAAATAGAGACAGAGGTGCACTTCCTACTGGACTGTGACAGATACTCTGGGATGAGAGAAACATTCTTCTCTAAACTCAGAAATCTAATCCCAGAGTTCCCACACTTGCCAGAATCACAACAGGTCCCAGTCCTACTGGGAGAGGGAGGAGGGAACTCAGTTGAACTGACAGCCCAGTATGTGATCTCCTGTCACAGCCTGAGGAACATTGAGTCTGTTTCCCAATAATGCTCCTTCTACAGTATATGTCAATATTTTATGATATGTCTTTGTTGTAAATGTCTGTAGCTTTTATTTTACTTTTTGTTTTGTTTCATGTTAATTTTATTTTTATTTGCTTTGGCAACACTGATTGTACCCATCGGTCATGCTAATAAAGCATCTTGAATTGAATTGAATTGAATTGAGCCAGTGAGGTGGGAGGTATGTGTGTGTGAGTGTG